ATGGTTGAAAAACGTGTTCAACATGTTTAACAATATTTTAAAAATGTAAAAATAAAAACACGTTTGGTATGTTTGCCGAAAAGTAACAATTACAGACTAAAAACTTTAAATAAAATTTTATTACTTTTCTAATAGTTACTAGATTAATAGCGAAATAATTTAAAAGTAATGCTATGATTACTCACGATCTTACTAACCATCTTACTATCATTTGTTAAAATTACATATGGTACCCGTACTATGCTTATGGTACTTGTACTATACTTTATATTTACACAGGATAGTAAGATGGTTAGTAAGATCGTGAGTAAACATAGTATTATTGATAATTTAATTAGAATCTCACCAATAAAAGAGCTACATTCTGTTTTCAACACATTCAAAGACCAATATTAATAAGCCAATCTGCAATAAAATTACCTTCCTACACCAAATTTTGTTAATTATTTGAAGTTTTTTACTTATATTTTTTATTTTATTAATACACAATCTAAATTTGGTAGGATTGACTTTTGCTTTTGAAAATTATTGAATAATTTAAAAGAATAAAATATATAATATGTTAATGCAAAAATTCGCACCAACCTACAATACTCAATTGGTTTCAGCGAAAATGGCTCAGCAGGCTAGCCATCTACTCGATAGTTGTTGCTCACACCGAGAAGTCTATGTCCAAGGCAGGGAAAAACTTGAGCTTCCTATTTAGTTCCTCCCAGGCGTTGATCTCGCAACGGCCTTCCAGCACGTCCTCATATCGCGTCCGCCACCACAGCTTCGTATCCTATCTTAGGAACTCAAGGGAGTCTTAGAAAGCTTCGGAGCCAGGATGGCTACACTTGCAGTTAGATCACAGGGTGAAGCTGGCTCATCGAGAGTAGGTTCTTTTCAGGTTAAAAAAAAAAAGAAAATCAACATTTGCTTCTGACTTTCCGTTTTCCAACAGCAATTACACATTCCCTCGGCCTTTGATTACAGTCAAAATGCCATATATGAAGAACCTAGTTCTTCAATCAGATTTGCACCAAATTCTTCCTTTCGGAAGAAAATATGATGCGAGGACCTGATCCACCAACTATCTGAAATGTTGGCAAACAGGGCCATACTAGTGACAGTAATAAAAAAGAAAAAGTTATGTAGTTGGACCATCTGCTCTATCAGTATGAGTTGAATTCGCAACGAAAGATGGAAAAAAGGAAAAAACATTCTCATGAAAGAAAATATCATGTGAGACAAAAATTAATAAACTCGGTGTAGTATTGATAGCCTAGGAAAAGAGAATGTGTAGCTCATGTATCAAAATCAAACATTGTGGGGGCGATGATGGTGTGTTGAGGCGAAACACTTGCAAATGGGGTTGTTTGTTAAAAGAAAAATGTTACGGACACTGACGCTTTGCACCGAATTTTTACACTGAAGACATGTTCACTGAATCAAACGAGTCACGTATCACGTTAACAAATATGCCGCGAATGAACAGCCGTCTATCAAATATGGACGACTGTCCATTGTTATTGGACCGCCGTTCATTTGAAATGGATTATCGTCCATATTATATGGACGACTGTCCACCTAGAATGGATGCTCGTTCATAATTTAAACTAAAAAAAATTTGCCTAAATTGTTTATAGACACCCGTCCTCTTATGAGGACAATTGTCCATAGTTATGGACTCCCGTCCATATATTATGGACGAGAGTCCTTTTAATATGGACGGGCGTCCATATAATTTCAGATGAAATATTTATTTTTAAAGTATAAAATTTTTAGATGAAATAAAAGAAAAAAAAAATTGATTTTAAGTGAAAGTATGGACGCCAGTCCACTCATTTGGATGGTCGTCCATATATATACTATGGATGACCATCCAAAACTATGGACGACCATCCAAATGAGTGGACTGGCGTCCATTCTCAATTTTTTTTTTTTTTTTCATTTATAAACAAAATGCAAGAGAGAAATGAAATCTATTTTCGGAGGCCTAAATTTTTAAACATTCTAATTGAAAATTTTAAAGAAATTTTTTTATTAAACTAAAATTTGGGCCTCCCAAATTGAATGTAAATTTTTTTAAATTAAACAATGGACAGACGTCCATTGAATGTAAAATTTTTTGGACGGGCGTCCATCTTATATGAACGTTCGTCAATAGTAAATAGACACCCGTCCATATAAGATGGCAGGCGTCCATTATTTTTCTTTTAAAATTTTTTGGACGAGTCCATATTAAATGGACACCCATCCATACAATATGAACGAAAGTCCATTAAATATGGGCGAGCGTCCATAAATGTTGGACGACCGTTCATTCACGAAAGACTCCAACGTGATCACGTCTGACTGGTTGCCATGTCCTTCGGTACAAAAATTTGGTGTAAAATTTCAGTGTCTGTAAGCACTACTCTTGTGAAAAAAGCATCTAAAAAAGTTGGAGGTGTTGGATTGATGACATAGGTAGCAATTAGGATGGCAAGCATCTGCCCAAAATTTCTTGAGAAGGTTTAGCTTTAAATAGGAAAGCTTAGGCCACATTGAGAAGGTGGCGATGTTTTCACTCGATTACTGCAATTTGTTGTGGAGTGGAAACACAACTAGTTTGATGAATGGTTCTTTTATCTAAATAAAAAAATTTCTTATAAATTTAAGGCAATTATCACTATGAAGAATTTTGACTTTTAAGGTCTCAACAAAATTGATGAATGTGGTTATGTATTTAGGATTGTCTAATGTATGATGCGTCATGTAAATCGAGTGTAATCATCAACCATGGTAATAAAATATCGTGCCCCATTGAGTGCAAGAATCTGGTACCCTCCCCAAATAAGTATAAAATGAACTCAATGGAAATTAAAAACGAGTCTGATTCGCTAAAGGGCAAACTAAACATTTAGAAACATCACAAAACTTTATGTTACCAACATAATTAGCCATAGAGTTAGACTAATTCCCATTAAGCAGTGTCATAAGGTTATGAGCTGAGAGGTGTTGTTGCATTGGCATCTACATGTTTGACTTTGGAGGAAAGTGCTTGTGCTTTCGCTCATCAAATTGACCACATGCATAATTCATCTTTCCAGCCACAATAAACACATTTAAGATATGCTCGACATGTCTCTGAAGTCTGCCCAAGCTTGTCATATATTCCACAATTCAAGTGAGGATTTTTAGGGATCTTCCTGAGTTGTATTCTATAGCAAAGGCTGTAGGTTAAGGCAATAGCACACTTCTCTTTGATACTTCTTGTTTTTTTGTCTTTGAGAATGTGAGAATGAACTTTGTTGATGGTAAGAAGTGTCCTCGAACACTAGTGTAGGCTTCATTAAGCCCTATGAGGAACTTCATGGTCTTTTGACTTTGTTGGAACTACAAATATTTCAAGATGTCGCAAGTGCAGCTTGGAATAGAATCTCAAGGCTGTTTAGTTTTGTATTATAAGCACCAATGGTCATTGTTGACTCAAGCATACTTTTACTTTTATTTTGATGATAACAAACTAAGCATATTTGCTAATGACTACTACTTAAGTATGGACTTAGATAGCAAGAATTTCTCAATGCACTCAAAGAAATATTAAAGAGGGAAAACGAACAACTTGAATTTGGAACATTGGAGAATACAAGAAAGCCTAGTCTAGATATATTTCCTTGTAATCGATTTTAACTGTAAAAGTATTGAGTCTTGGTGAGAAAAGTAACTTTCATGTGAAAGTTCTCAAAAACTTGTTTTTGGATTTTTCAAATCTAGGCCAAAATGTCACTTTTCCAAACATAGGGGTTACATTAAAAGTTTCCAAGTTTTAAATCTTCACAGTTTAACTCATTTGGTCAATCGATTTTTGATTGTAGTCTAAAATGTCATATTACAAAGGTTATCGAGTGGTTTTAAATTAATATTTTTTAAAGTTTTAAAATCTGCAGTTTAAGACATTAGTCAACATAATATGTTGTCGAATGGTTTTCCTATTCAAACAGAAGCATTGCAAAATACTTTGTCAATAGGATGATCAATAGGTCGATCGAATAGACCATTAGGACGATTGAATGCACCATTAAATGTAATGCCAATTGGAGATATAACGGCTAGTAACACATCAACGCCACATCAGCAATAAGTAATACTACATTTATACCATTTTTTTACACCATTTTCATTACATCATGATATGGCATATATCCCAACCACACAAATTCTATTATAATATTAAAAATTCAAAATAATTAAAATTTTATGTGGTTGTGACATATATCACATCATGATGTAATGAATATAATAAAAAAAAGTGGTGTAAATATAACATTACTCCATCAGCAATAGGACAACTGAATAGACCATTAGTTTGACCCAATGAGGTGAACTAGAAAATTCAATTTCCAGCATAATGGCCATTTTTTTTAGGATTTTCTATATAAACCCACAAATCATATTTAATAAACTTTTGGCAATCTAAACTGACAAAAACTTCACACCAAAGGCATTTAATCAAATTTTAAGAGCTCTCACTTCACTTGTTAATCTCTCTTTATAATTCAACCCTTGCTACACATAGCACTTATAATCTTTGTAGATTGGGTTTTCTTGGGCTAAACACATGCTTATACACTTTAGTCAGAGAGTTTTCATTGTTGTATTAAATCAATCTCAAATTCTAAAATAGTGGATCTCACTCTGGGGGGTTTTAGGCATTTTTAATGAGAGAAAGTAAGTCATAGCGTTTGATAGCACCTGGAGGAAAACTATTTGTATTGGATTTGTTTGCTTGAGTGATCAACCAAGAGAGATAATGAAATATTCTAAGAGGAATAGCTTTTGGAGACATAGGTTGGGATTGGCCTGAATCACTTACTTTCCAAATCCTCTGTACCTAACTTTTAAAAGGTAAACTTACCTCCATAAACAAAACCAAATCAAAACTATTAAAACCAGACAAAGCAAGAAAGCTCGTAGCCCAACTATAAACACGAAGGGAAGAAATGAAATGGATGTTGCAAGTAGTGGAAGCTAAATGTAAAAATTCAAATATAATATTACAATTTTTTAATATAAATTTTTATTACAGTCCTCGACAACAACTGAGAAAAATTTGTAATGCTCAGCACATCTATCTAGAGTTCAACTAAAAGTTTGAATAACACTGGCCTGTAATCAAACCAAATAACATATGGATTTGAACAGGATGACATTGATCAAATTTTGATTTCAAATAAATCAATTTTGAATTTGATCTGGAAAAAGAACAGTACAAACTTGTAAGAATGTTCCATTTTTTGGAATCTAATTCCACTTATTTTTTGAAGCAGTCTGAGACAATATACAGGTTTCAACAAATTAAATTTAACAAATGAAAATTTAATGCAACTGTGCCAAAGAAGAGTTAAACCTGGTCAGATCACACGAGCACAGTCCCCAGCTTCACAAATTAATACAGCAAAGTCCGGGTTCAACTGGCTAGCAAGCTCAGGTTGGTGCTTAAAATACTCTTCCCTGACATACGCCGCAGCTTCTGCCGCACGACTTGCATCTACAAATGCAAGACAGCATCCTCTAAATCCAGCACCGCTAAACCGTGCTCCGAATACTCCAGGAGCTTTCCGGAGGATCTCATTCATTTGTATCAATGGCTCACAACCTTCACGAAAACAATAATTCTTTCATCACTGGGCAGTCTTATGTATATTGAGATAAAGGGCTTAAATTATCAAAGTACTCTGACAAGAATCTAATGAATTCAACATTATCTTCTCAAACTTTGTTAATAGTTTAGGTTAGAATAGGAAAATTGAGCAGAAATCTAAAATTAAACATGAAAAAATGAAATTGCCATAGGTAGGAAAAGTGGGTTATTTACTGAAGAGTAATTGCAATTTTTGGAAATTTCGAGTAGACACACACATCGATGTGCTTATAAATTTCAAGGACAGCCTTATAGGTATGTGCAGCGCCAAGGACCAGAAGCACCCCAATCATAAATACAGATTGTAGGGGAGATCGCGTGAAAAGTTCAGAGATCCAAAGGTGATTACAGTGAACACAAACATAATTCAAATATGCACGCAGCAATGGGCCATTGGGAGGAAACTACCAATAAGCACAGGTAAATTAAACCATCTTGTTTAGTTATAACTGTATAAAATAACAATCAAATAAATGAAAAATAGAAATTGAAAAGAAGGATAAATTAAAAGCAGAATTTCAATCCACTCAAACGTCAACATCCAAGTGAAAGACTACAGTTGAATCCCATAAAATTCACTAGATTTATTAACATTTATTGTAATATGCTCATAAAATTCATGCATGGTAGTTCCTCCTCGCTTAATTGGATTTGCAATTTCAAAAGAGCTTAAATAAAAGTGGAAAACAAGAATATGCAATCTTTATGGAGATCACAGCCAGTGTATGTATTGGTGACATGAAAACTGATACATGAGTTTGTAAGATAGAGTTCAGGTAGCTATTTTTGCAAGCTATATCTAGAGTGTTTGAGACTTGACTCTCAAATGAATGGCTTTGGCCCGAGCAAAATTTAATATTAGACAAGTAATTCAGAAAAGGTTTCCAAGAATGAGCCTCTTGCCTTCTTGTTGTGTGATGTGTAACAGTGCCAAATGACTTCTTAGTTTAGGTTACGAAAAGTAGCCAAATATTGCATGGGATAATAAATCCAGGTACTTTTGATTCATTACTCATGTAGAACATTTTTAATTTTAGGGAAAGGGAAAACCTAAAATTCTGAGGTAAAGTGCGACATTAGCCATCTTATATATATATACTTTGTGGGACAAAGTTCATCTTATGCATTACTTCAGACTTTGATAGTCAAGGACTTTGAACATTCTTATTTTTTCTTCTCAAATCTTAACTTGGAAGGAGTTTTGGGTTGTTTTTTCTATGTACAATGTCTAATCAAGGGGCTGGTTCAACTGCAGATATTGAGGCATTCTTGATTAACTCTAATCGGTCGTCACAAGCACTACATGACTACATAAAGTACCAACAAAGAAAGTTAGGTTGTACCGCATTCATAGTTGTAGATAGAACTCAGACCAGAAGCTGAGATGAGCTTCCCAAAGTCTTCCAAGTTGCCTGATGCCCAAGCTTCAAGTCCTGAAATAACCAAATATTTGAAAAAACCTGATAATGCACAAAACCATGATAATAATTTCCAAGAGAAAGTTTTAGAAAGCATGCAAAGGAAGCAATGCCTTTTATAACCCGCATATTCTCTGAGAAATAATGCTCTGCTCTTTTAGCTGGAATAGGCTCGAGTTTGCACTGCAGAGAAATGATACCAATCAATCAGGAAAAAGTAAACGAAAAGAAAATTGGAGGATTTCAAATTGTTTTCATGAATTCAGTTATATTTTTGTCTTATTTTACCTTGTTCGATTAGAGAAAAACTCTGGTTCATCGAAAACTGATGAATCACTATACCCGCAAAAATCACAAAGAGTTTTCAGCTTCATTTACATCCTAGAAAATCTGTTAATCTGATGGCATTTTGACGCACTAGCTTATGTTTAAATATAAAATAAATTAGTCTCTTGATAATAACAGAAATTTGACTACAAATTGACAAGGAAAATTGCTACCACGGGGATTGATTTGATTGGCATGGTGGCCATATACATTCCAATTTATAAACTGATAGGAAACCAGAACTTCCCACACTCAATTCAAATAAACAATTCAAAGAACAAGGAGTTTATGATTAATTCAGCTGAATTTATCTGATAATGAAAGGAAAATACAAGTTGTAACAACAAGTGAAAAAGAAGACGACAAAAGAAAATAAAGGATAGTCTAGCAGTTCAAGGAGCTAGAAACCTCCCAACCAAAATTCCCACAAAACTCTGCCTTTACAATTCACAGGCCTAAGTTTATACCCAGCTAATCACAATATTCTCATGGCTGTTGCTACGTTGCTTTACTAACAAACTCTCAAACAGCCTAATACTGATAATCCCTTTTAATCCCATATTTACCCTTCTAGTAAACATGCGTGACAGGTGCTCAATCATAAACTTTTTCAGGCCATATTGGATGCTCCCACTGTAAGACACAGGAAGACCCTGCTAGGGCCCAGAACTGCATACTTTCTATGGCAATGGAATATCTCAAGAATACGGATTTGGCTCTCATTAATGCTTAAATGTAAGGGGGAGCAATATCAGGAGCAAAGGCAGAAATTCTCACTCGGTAATTGATAGGAACCCACTCCAATAACTCAACAATTTGGGCTAAGTCATGGGTCTTTCATGGGCTTGGGTAGAACTCTCCTTGGAAAACCGGCTTGCCAAGGAAGGGTGCCCAAGCTTTTATAACCCACATGCCCATCCTTTTCCCTTTCAATGTGGGATCCTAACATTGCCCCACGCTTCGAGACCCAACGCCCTTGTTGGTCTTCTTTCCAGAGAGCACCCGCCCTCATCGGCCTTTACTGCCCTCCCTTTGGGTCTTACTTCACCTAGAAGCCTGTCAGGCCCTAGAAGCCTGTCAGCAACTCTCCATCTCGACCCCTCAGGGGGCCCACTAGGCCCTATTATCTGGGCTCCACGTCGGCCTCTTTACCTCTTGGTTGACTTCGCGAATCCCCTTTCCTTGGTGTAGCAGCTCGAGCCCAAGGTCAGCCTGCCACGCGTGTGCAGGATCATGCTCTGATACCAATTGATAGGAACCCACTCTAATAACTCAACAATTTAGGCTGGGCCATGGGTCTTTCATGGGTTTGGGTAGAACTCTCATTGGAAAACCGGCTTACCAAGGGAAGGTGCTCAAACCTTTATAACCCACATGCCCACCCTTTTCCCTTTCAATGTGGGATCCTAACAGTTATATATACATATATACAGACACACTTTTCCTTTAGCAAAACTTTTTGCTCATGAGTCAACCGATAACATTGATTCTAAATGTTTAGTATTGCAAAAGATTTTCATATATCATGATATTGTCAAAAATATGAAGTATTAAACAAAAAGCAGGATGCTATTGGTTTCTACTTATTCATCTACTTAAACATGAGAGAATAGAAAAATAACCATGTAAATTTGAACTCATTTAGTCACAAGCTTGTGAAACTAAGTTAATCAATTACCTTGTAAGCTTCATAATCCTCTAGTTCCACTGTTTGAAAAAAATCAAGATCGTTATCAGTTGAAAAAAAAGCAAAAATCAAACTTTTGGAAGACAAAATAGGTCAAATACTAACCATTGCACAGGAGAGGCTTGACTTCAGCTTTTCCAGAGGCACTGTAGACAGGAGAAAGGAAATATGATTTACCAAAAGTTTCAGAATCTAAAGAACCCAGGAATACATGTAGAACAACTAGGCTCCTAGCCAAAACAATAAAAAAAAAAATATATATATATATATATGTGTGTGTGTGTGTGTGTAAATATATATATATATATATATGTGTGTAAATATATATGTGTGTGTGTGTGTGTGTGTGTGTGTGTGATGATTTTCCTTGACTGTAGGGTCAAATTGATATCGGATTTTGATGATCAATTGGATTTTGATGATCACAAACTCATTCTTTAAATGAACACATTATTCTCTTAGGGACTTCACATTTTTACGTGAACCTAATATTGTGCTGTTTTAGTTATCTTGGGATTCTTATTTGGATTTTTCTATCAGAGATGAGGCCCTTATCTTATCTGGTCTCTTGTATGATTTAGATTACTATATTTTGTTTTATAGCACCTACACTTTTCGATTGATCAGCTTCTAAAATCATTTAGGTCTGAAAGTGTTGTTCCATCAACTATGACGAAATGAACATTCAACGACAATAATTTCTTTTCTAAAATAAGTTACTAGGAAAATTTAAATCAATAAAAATAATTACCTACTTGATAATTATAATTTTGATATGATAGTTAAACTTCTTAATAAAAAATAAAAAATTTATTAAAACAATTTTGATAATTATAAAAATATGTTACATAATACAAATAAAAAAGAGTTGTCTCAATGTGTGCTCTAGAAAAAATTTAGCATATCAACGCATCAGAAATTGTTTATATTTTTATTTTTCCTTTTATCATAAAATGCATCAAAATAAACAGATTATTTTATTGGTTTTAATGTGTGCTCTTACGGCACTAAGGGCGCACATTAAGATAACCCTAAAAAAAAATGTCTATTTTGGTCTTTTTACACACAGCAATTTGAAATGATTACCTTTATCTTTTAGTAGCAGATTTTTTCCATAACACAACTAGAAATGATTATTCCAGAAATACAGGAATCAAAAAGTGGCTCTTTTAACTTTCAATTCTTTTCTAAATCACGTAATATAGCCAAAAAGCATGGTCTACTAACCATTTCTACAATCCATGAGGTCAGATCAGAATTACTCTTTATCAAAGGCTCATCACCTAATTTAATTATATTTAATCAAAAACTTCTTGAAATTTTTCTCCCAGTAAATTCTATTCAACTAATAATTGGTTCAGCTCCAATGAAAACCATGGTAAATGAACCGTACGTGCATTTTAAATATACCTCTCAAAATTATATCAAAGACATCTCACCCACAAGATGCACACATATATTAGGTAAAATGACCACATAAAGGTAATTTAAGGATATCCCAGAATCAGTAAGACTTCAATGGCAAAGGGAAAGAATCATACCGCAAGAGAACACTCGCCGCTTCTTGACATTCCGCAACTCGGCGATTATACCCAGGATTGGTAGTCAGATTACATCTCAAGCCCGAAAATGCCAATAATATTTTGTAGCGATTGAGTAAATCAGTTTTGTGGCTGTTGTACGATTTTGATGGGTGTATAAGCTGGTATTCTTTGGTCTAAGCGTGGGAAAACAAGATTCATGAGAAACCATAACACCAGTCTATGAAAGAATAAGAGAAAAATATAAAATCAACTGAAAGTGGAGGCCAGTTTGATACATCTGAAATTCATAATTTTAGATATAGATCAGCTGAAACAAAAACATCAAATTGTAATCATCATTAGAGAAAAATCTATTAAAAGCTGCTATAAAGAGAAGCATTGCACCACAGAAAATTATTGTGCTTTGAAATGTGCACAAGAGATTAGGCCAAATTTGCTGAATAACTTCTACAACATGTAACGGAACAAGGACAAGACTGATCAAAGAAATATGAGATCTCTTGCATTTACGTAAGTCTTCTAGATGTTTATGAGTTTCTACCATGTATTCAATATTATGGACAACCACTTCAATATGAGATCTCTTACATTTGAGAGAGTCTTTCATATGTCTTATGAGTTTCTACCATGTACTCAATATTATGGACACCCAATTCCTTACAGAGAAAGCAATAGATAAAATTTACTCAGAGTATTGGTTCGGATCTCCAATCAAATTACTTTTGAAAGATAGATCAAACTTGGCCTCAGTCATTAGAATTCAGCTTAAGTAGCAAATAGTCTTTATCATCCGTAATCCACAAGATTGGACTCTGATAAGAACAAAAGGTGATGTTGTCTTTACATACAAGTTGTGCAAAAAAATATACAGGTGATGGAATTCATTACAAAATGACCAACCTAACAAGATGGTAATCAATAGCTAGAATTATTTACTAAATTTTGGGTTATATAAATAAAGGGTTGTAACCAAACCACATCTATACATATACTGCCCCACCATTCACAATAACCAGGGAGTGACTTTTTTCTTCCTTTTCTTTTTTTATCAGAAACAATAAAAATATAAATTAAGAAGAGACTGGGGTAGGTAAATCCGTGGACTAGAGATCCACAAAGATATCAAAGAAATGATGAGATGAACAAATCTATTCAAGACAATGACTAATGTTTGCTTCCTTGAGTGAAAACAAACTATACAAAGGTAGCCCAAAATCCACTCCCCATTAAGATGAATGAAGAAAAATGAGAAGTCCTTAAGTTCCGTTGAAACTGAAGCCCAAATAAAAGCAAAAAGTCAAACCATCCCATATGGCCTCCCTGTTACTATCACATTTCTCCTCAAAACATGATTTACCCTTCTTTCCTTCTCGAAAAGAGAAAACGTTCTCCGTAAGTAAAGCTTCACAAGAACCTGGAATAATCCATGATATCCTTAATCCAAACTCTAGCCAATAATTTTGAAGCCACAGAGCAATTCAGGAATAGGTGATTTGCAGTATCCTCACTTTGTTTACACTTGACACCCGAAGATGGAGATAGGCACATATAAGAGTACCTTCTTTGTATCACATCTCTCATATTGATTTTTCCTTGGACTAAAGCCCACAAAAAGACTTGAACAATAGGAGGGAATTTGGTCTTCCATATCATCTTTAAAGGTTTAAAGTCATCAAGAACGGACTCATTTACTAACCACTCAAAGAAGGATTTACAAGAGTAATTGCCGGAAGCTTCTGATTTCCAGCTTCTTCTATCCTTTTTAGTCTCATCAATGTTTACATTTCCCACCAACTCCACAAGCTCAATGAAGTCTCCTGTTTCTCTTTCATTCAAGGTCCTTTTGAAATTGAAGTTCCAAATCCATAATGAAGAATTTGGAGAGAAAACCACACAAGATTTAATAGAAAAGATTTTATTAGGATAAAGCCTATAAAGGTGAGGAAACTTATCACTAGTGGCATCTCCAATCAATTTATCTTCCCAAAACCTAATGTCCTGCCTATCGCCCATGACCAATGCAATACGATTAAGAAAGAATGGATACTGCATAGAGTTAGCTTTCATAGTTTTTTTACCAATTAACTGTATTTTATAAGAAAACACCTTAAAGCAACAAAAAATAATGTTTTAAAAAAAAAGAGCAAATATGAAGTGCTATGTAGCCATACAGCAGAAAAATATCATCTTGGATAAATTTGATAAGACAAAATAGGTAAAAATAATCAACATAAAGTTTAAATCTGACTCTACAATTAGAATAAGTCAAGTAAATTAATGAGAATATAAAGAGTTTGATTCTTAAGAACAATAAATATTCACAAAAGCCAAACATTACCTTGCAGTTCATGCATGTTAGACAACCATAGCTTGAAAGCAATATAGCTGACTGATCAAGTATGCCATTCCTTAGACCCAAATATTCATTTTCAATTAACCTAAATCAGCAAAAAAGTAACAGTTACAAAGGAATAATGCTCTAAGGAATAGGAAAGCACAAATAAATTGGCAGCAATATCAACCGCTTGAGGTTTTGAGTTCCACATGATCATGAATTGAACAGAAATTTACAAATTATTTGGTCATGTAAAGCACGCCAATTATTCCAGTACTTCAAGAAATGCGAATCAAGTTATGGTCATTAAGGATGCATAAAACATTATATATGTCATCTAAAGTTCTCCTGCATCATGGACATAAACCTCTTTCATTATCATTAAAAAAAATAATAATAAATAAATAAATAATTATAGGGTAAAATTCTTTAATTTTTCCTTGATAATTGACCTAATTACGAGTACACATTCCATATCTTATTTGAGTTACTACTGCTTGTTATGTTAAATGTGGTATTTATAATCACTATTTCATATTTTTGAATAATTTAGTTACTTATCCTTAATTTTTTTTAAAGACTTGGTCCCATTTGTGATTTAATTTCAGCCAGACTTGATGGATGATTTTTGTATGCAATTTTGAATTCTTTCATATTCTCTGCTTGCCTTTCCTTTCTGCACCTACTTATTGTATGACGACATCATGTTTAACTGATATTGACCATCGAAATAAATAAAAAATACCCTTAGACGTCCAATAACCTACAGCTCCACAGCCAAACTATGTTCCTTGACAAAAATGAATTATACCCTAGCAACATAGCAAAGATAAAGCTAAAGTAAATGCAGTCCATACGAAGGATTACATAGTAAAACAATACAGGTGCAAGACTGAACACCACTTGCATTCACAATGTTTTCTGATCGGTTTCTCGTGCTTTTGCTCGTATTTTTTAGATATTCCTCTCAAAATCGCTTTAGTTGAGCTTTTACAAGAAGATTGGATGCTTCTTGTTTTCTATATGACACAATGGCATTCTAAGGATTTATTTTGAATCTTGAATTCTCTATTTTTCATTTCAATAAAATAACACCTTCAGTGTCTCTTTGGCATGAACTTTAAAATAAAAATAAATAAATAAACCTCATAGTTCAACCTAGACATGCTGTGCTTTAAATCACAAATAAGGCATACCAATAACAAATTAAATAAATAGATTCAAGTTTTAAAGAAACCTACCGATCAAATTCTATGTTATCAATAGCAGATACTTTCATATCATTTGCACTTTCCAAAGCCAACAGGTAAGCAACTCCTACCTGTAAAATGCTAACTAAAGTTACAAATGCCAAATACATCAACACTCCTCAATAATGTACACAATACTCCAAAAGGATTAAGCCATGACAACAAACATTGCTCGGCTCCAGTAGCTCAGATTGTTATTTACTTGGACACAATACAGGACTGTACTTGCGACCTGTACTAAAAGTTTTAGACAAGCCTTGGGAGCATTTCTAGTCGAGGTGGAATTAGATTGGTTAAAATATGTAATCAGTAACACTGGGCCAGTAATGACCAAGGAAAGTGCAGTTCTTGGACAAATTAATTATTACATATATTTATTTCTATAAAATTTTAATGAACTAATTAAAAAAATGAATTATTTATATTTTATTTTATAAATAAAAATAATAAAAAAGTGAGAAATATTTAGAAATGGATTACTTATTAAATTTCTTTCAACCAGATTCTAATAATTCGATATTATTTATTTATTCATCATAAAAAATTTCAAAATAACCTAAACTAATATGAAATTTAGTTACGTATTTTAAAATATGTTTTAATTGGTTAATCAAGAAATAGTATAATTAAAAGAATAAGTTCAACATTAATGATAAAAATATGTTTTTACTAGTTCCTAATCATAAACAAAATATTCATACAAATTCTGAAGCATGAATTTATATTTATTTTAAATTATTTTCCATTAGATTATTTGTGAAATTTGAGCTTATTCATTACATAAAATTATGTCTTCACATTGTACCAAACATAGAAGTAGAGTACTATAAATGCAGTCCAATCTAGTCCTAAGAAATGCCCAATCAATACCACATGCCAAGTTTACCCTTACTTAATTAACTGTCCTGCTCCTTTTCCTATTTCACATAACTTAAAGACCAATTCCCTAAATCTTCAAGTTTAGAGCTAACTAAAATGATAAATCCAGGTTTAACAGAGATCCCATTTTCGACCACCATTTAAATAATAATAATAACAATAAGTGGTTGAGCTTAATTATGTTATTGATAAATTTTATGAAGATGTTCTTTACTTTAGAATTTGCACCACTATTTAGTGAATTTTCTTTCCTCTTATTCTTTTTCAGTAAGGAATTACTGCTTGTACATTTCTTTCCATTGATTATTTACTGCAGATTATGCATCCTCAGCAGCCAAATGTTAGAAAAGCAGCAGCAAGAAGAAAAGCCAAACTACAGCAGCTGAAGAGCTAAGTCCAGAACCGTCAAGATTCTCAGAACCAAATGTATCCTATTATGCCCTGCAATGGTTACAACAGATCAAAACCAAAAGACTCTAAAAATGTGCAGCTTCACTAGAGACGACAATGGAGCAACAGAAAAGCGCATGCATTATTTTAGTAGTGCTGATGGAAATTGAGAAGCAGCAATTATGACATCACAAATACAGAGATGCAATATGTCATGAAACAATTAAAAAATTGGCCAAAATTTCTGCAAGTCAATCTCCAGGAGATCTTTCAAAGAGCGGTGTTCTTTGGAACTAGTTAATCCAAACGACATAAACATAAAATTAGTATAGTTGCATCACAGAGAATGATACCAAATGAGCCACATTAGAAAAATAAAACTTAACATGTTAAAAAAAAAAAAAAAAAAAAAAGAGGCATTTTAGAGGATATTTTAGTAAACCTGGCAGGTCATCAATAAGTATAGATGCCACTGGAATCTATTTACAAAGCTTCAGATAAATACTTGAAACAAAACAGAAGACTTAGACTTAGGTCAAACAAGAATATAGCAATGATCATAATCTAGAAGGGTAATTTCATCTAAACCAGTAAGCATGTTGTTGCTCAGTACCATAGATGTCCAGCACCAGAACTCATTATTTTCTTCATTGGAAGGGTTTCAAAGGAAAACACAGGCTTATCTTAGACAAAGATTTTGGTTATTCCCTTTCTTGACCCTATATGATAAACAATAACCAAATAATTTTTTTACCTGGGCCAGATACTTCCCCCTACTCTGTAGTGCATAAACAGCCCCTCTAGCATAATTTCCCCAGCAACTGGCTCCTCGTAGTTTGGCGGAATCACTTGCATGGATTGGATCATTATCCTTTACAGTATTTCTTGGTTGTTGAATTTCATCAACGCTGTCAAGACCCAAATACAAAACATAACAATTCAATATGAAGTTTAACACAGTTGGTCATGGGGTTTTTGTATAGATTGATTCTCAGCTATATTGTACAGCTAGTGTCTCTTTAAGAGTCTGTTGTGGACCTGGTCCACTGCTGTAACTCATTTTTAACATCAATACATATATATATTTCCAATCAAAACAATATGAAGTTTACGTTAGAGAGTAGCATAATCCATGCAAATGCACACACGAAAATGAAAGTAAGCATTTATTGCAAAGGAAGTAATCATATTCACAGTGAATAAAAACAGTCCACAAGCATGAGGTGGAGTAATATCATATAAGACAATTAACTCACTAAGGATAATATCCAGGCAGATATATAACTAAGGCCAGTTAATTACTACATTGCCTCAGCCACGTAATCCAAATAGTTAAAAAGAAAAGGAACAAAAAAATAAAAGGCTTAAAAAGTGCATTACTTTTACAACATAAAACAATTAAATAAAAATTAAAAGAAACAAATGCCTGTCCAACAACATTCTACAATATTGCTTTAATTAATAATTTCACAATTAAAATATGACTTTTGCATTTTTAAGATCCAAGAATGTGTTTAAAATTATGCTTTCAAATACACCAGGCCGACAGGAACAAGGCACAGCAGAACACAGCACAAAATCGTACCAAGCACAACACAACATGATTATTGTAGCAACATGGCCCAAACATGAAATACTAACGGTTCAAGAGTGGATGACTAAATGCAAGTGGGTAGTCATAGTCAGTCCTAGCAGACACCATGACTACTAACCTTCTCACCCCTTGAATCTATGCCACCACAAGACCACTAATAGGCCAAACACATAGTTAGAGTTTGGCCAAGCAGTACTGATGAGCAACCAAGAATGGTTTACCGTAGGAAGAAGAGTGGTGAGAAGCAGAGGAATATTAGTTAGGCAGGAGGTTAGAGTTTGTTAGGAGGGGACAGGTGGCTTGGTAGGAGTAGGAGAGAAGAGAATTCTGTTAGAAATCAAAAGGTGTCAGGAGAGAATAAAAAGGGCAAGAACGAAAGAGAGGGAATCGAGAATTGTTGAGTCATTTTGGAAGGGAGGCTACTGACCCTCAAAGTCAGTAAATGGGAGGCTGCTGACCCTCGAAGTCAGTCTTATGTTTACCATTTTCTTAGTATACTTCGTTATTCTCTCTGTGTAATTGCTATTTGAGTATTGATAGGACATTGCTGCTGTGTGAATCCTTCTGGATGTAATGTTCTGTGTGATTGGCAATACAACAGAGTATTTTTACATGTGAGTGTGTATATTAGCTGTGTTGTGGATAGATTGTGGTTTTATTGTGGATTTGCAGGTTGGGTGTTCATCAGTGGTATCAGAGCATTGCGTTCTTGGTTATGGTATTGACAAGAATGGACTCTAGACTGGACAATGTGGAAAGAGAGGTTACGAAGTTGGGAGTGGAGATGGGTACTATTCGAGAGTGTCTGGTTGAAATACAGTCCTGGGTGCGAAGAAAGGATGAAGAAGAAGCTGGTAGAACCGAGATGCGTTCATCGGAAAATAACCGATCTCACCAGGAGGAAAATCCAAATGGGGCAAGTGGGTCTAGCACCAGTAACCAAAGTCACAGTGAAATGAGTGGGAGAAAATTGGAGATGCCGATATTTTCCGGCGAAGATCCTTACGGATGGATCTTTAGTTTTCACCTCAATGGAATAACTGAGGAAGGGAAATTAACAGCAGCAGCTGTCTATATGGAGGGTGAAGCCATCAACTGGTTCCAGTGGACAGAATCCAAAACTACGGCGACGTCGTGGGCCATGTTTAAACTGGCACTCCTTCAAAGGTTTAGTGGGTCCCAAGAACTCAATCCCTGTGAGTAGCTAATGGTCATGAAGCACACTGGGTTTGTAATGGAGTTTCAACGTTAGTTTGAAGCCGTCATTGCTCTTCTGGTAAAGGAGAAGGAGGAGATTTTACAAGCAGCCTTTATCAATGGGCTAAAACTGGAAGTGAGGGCTGAAATCCGTTTAGCCCAGCCCACATCTTTAACTCAAATCATTGATCTGGCCCAACACATTGAGGAAAGAAATAACGTGATTGAAGAAGCCCAAATGGGGACAATTAGACATTCATGTGCTAATGGGGCCTGGGTCTTCCTATGGATCCAGAAACTTGACCCGACCCGAAACTTACCCAAACCCAAAATTCCCAAATAACGCAGAATCCCTAAAATCAAATTCTAATTCCCATTTCCTTCGACGTTCGCCAAAATCCTCAATCCATGGCTCGTCGACCAACTCTTCCAATCGCGACCAACCACCTTCATCATTTCGGCCCTTCGAACGATCGAACTCCCAACGACGCGAGTTCCCATTCCGTCGAATGACAGATGCGGAAATCCAAAAGAAAAGGAGAGAGGCCTTTGCTTCAGATGTGATGGTAAGTTTTCATTTGGTCACAAATGTGGGGAAAAGCAGTTTCAGATTATTTTAATTGATGAAGAGGAGGATGACCCAGATCCATCTGGTGGAAGGGAGTCCATTGAATCTGGAATGGAACTACAGTAGGAACAGGTTGAGCTTTTTCTTAGCTCCGTTGTGGGAATTCACAGTCCAAAGACCATGAAGCTCAAGGGCAGAATCCATGGTAAGGAGCTGATTGCGTTAATTGATAGTGGGGCTTCCCACAATTTTATTAGTTCAAAGGTGGTGGAGTGTTTGGGTATTTCTGTGGTGGGAACTCAGTCCTTTGGGGTCCGAGTTGGTGATGGGTATAGTGTGAGATGTGAGGGAGAATGTAGAGATGTTTGCCTAGAGCTACAAGGGATGACGATTGTCCAAAATTTCTTTCCATTTGATATGAGCAGTGCGGATGTTGTTTTGGGGATTGCATGGCTAGAAACTTTGGGTGAAACGACCACAGACTAGAGGAAGCAAACCATGAGGTTTAAACTGGGAGATCAGATTGTGTGCTTGCGAGGGGACCCATCTCTCAGCAAAACCATGGTTTCACTCAAGGCTATGATCAAGGCATTGTAGAGTGAGGGACATGGGTGTTTGATAGAGTTTGGACAGATTTAGAAACAGAGTGATAATAATGAGGATGTGGATGATCGGTTGTTGGAAATATTGCAGAAATTTAGTAGAGTTGTTGATCCACTTCCTGGATTACCACCCGCCAGAACCAGAGACCATGCCATTCAGTTAGTGCCAGGGACTCAACCACCAAATCTCTGACCTCATAGGTACCCTTACTACCAGAAAAACGAAATAGAGCGCATCCTCAAGGAAATGCTGGCTTCCAGAATAATAAAGCCCAACATCAGTCCATTCTCAACTCCAATTTTGTTGGTGAAGAAAAAAGATGGGGGGTGGAGATTTTGTGTTGATTATAGGGCAGTTAACAAAGTGACAGTTCCGAATAAGTTTCCGATTCCAGCCATCGACGAATTATTTGATGAGTTAGACGGTGCGACGGTATTTTCTAAGCTTGATTTGAAATCGGGCTATCACCAAATCCGAGCTAAACCAGAGGACACCCTTAAAACGGCCTTTCGGACGCACGAAGGGCACTATGAGTTTTTGGTAATGCCCTTCGGCCTCACCAATGCACTGGCTACCTTCCAAGCAGTCATGAATGACGTTTTCAGGCCTTATCTCAGGAAATTTTTGTTGGTTTTCTTTGACGATATACTGATCTATAGTAAGGGGATCGGTGAGCACGCGAAGCATCTACGCATTACCTTGCAGGTGCTCTTAGACAATCAGTTGGTGGTCAATAAAAAAAAGTGTTACTTTGGGCAGTCACAATTGGAATATTTGGGGCGTGTGGTTTCAGCTAAAGGGGTGTCCGTTGACCCTTCAAAGATTGAGAGTATTATCAAATGGCCAGCACCGAGAGATATTAGGGCACTAAAAGGATTCCTCGGGCTGACAGGATACTATCGCCGATTTGTTCGCGATTACGGAAAAATCGCACTTCCACTCACTGCCTTGTTAAAGGACTCGTTTGTGTGGAATGCAGCAACTCAAACGGCTTTTGACGAACTTAAACAGATAATGACCACTGTTCCAGTTCTCCAGATACCTAACTTAACTCAAGAGTTCGTCATAGAAACCGATGCTTCAGGAAGTGGTTTGGGTGCGGTATTAATGCAAAAAGGATGACTGATTGCTTTTCTCAGCAAAGGTTTGTCCCTAAATTCAAAGCTGAAGTCAGTCTATGAAAGGGAATTAATGGCTATAGTTCTGGCGGTGCAAAAGTGGCGCCATTATTTGTTGGGTAGACGTTTTGTGATTCGAACGAATCAGCGCAGTCTTCATTTTCTAACTGATCAGAAATTATTGAGCGAGAATCAACAGAAATGGGTTATCAAGTTGCTGGGTTTGGACTTCATAATTCAGTATAAACCAGGGCCACAGAACAAGGTAGCAGATGCTCTTTCTAGGATGCCAGACGTGGTAGACCTTTATGCTATCTTAGTGGGCTGTTTTTCTGGACTAGACAGTTTGGAGGATGCTATTCAGAGTGATGACAGATTACGTGGGATCATGCAACAGCTCCTACTCAACCCCAACAGTCATTATCCTTTCAGATTGGTGGGCCGCCATCTGCTGTACCATAACAGGTTGGTGCTACCTAAATCCGGGCCTCACACCCATAAAATTTTACAGGAATTTCATGCATCGCCCATTGGGGGCCATTCGAGGTTCTTTCGGACGTATAAGCGTCTCACAAATGTGGTATTTTGGGAGGCGATGAAGCACGACATCAAAGAATTTGTGGCTGCTTGCCCTGTGTGCCAACAGAATAAATATGACGCCATGAGTCCAGCAGGATTGCTTCAGCCATTACCCATCCCTCACCAAGTGTGGGAAGACATTTCTATGGTCTTCATCATGGGCCTCCCCAAAGCCAAAGGGGTCGATACAATTTTGGTAGTTGTGGATCGTCTGACTAAATATAGCCATTTTTTACCTCTCAAGCATCCGTACACAGCCAAAGTGGTAGCGGATCTGTTTATTAAAGAAGTGGTTCGCTTGCATGGCTTTCCCCGTACCATTGTTTCCTATCGAGATAGGATTTTTATGAGCAACTTTTGGAGCGAATTATTTAAACAATCGGGCACCCACTTACACATGAGTTCCGCATACCATCCACAGACAGATGGTCAAACAAAGGTAGTAAACCGTTGCCTAGAGACTTATCTCCGATGCTTTGTCAGTGGACAGCCACAGTTATGGCCCAAATGGATTCCATGGGCGGAATTTTGGTTCAACACTACTTATAACCGTTCCACGGGAATGTGCCCTTTTAAGGCCCTCTATGGCCGTGATCCACCCACAGTTTTGCGTTATTCTGACCACACCTCTTCAGTCGACGACGTGGACCAGCAACTTCAGCAACGTAACAATGTTTTAGATGACTTAAAAGAGCATCTCCTCAAGGCTCAACACCGCATGAAATCTTATGCTGATCAACATCGCCGGGATGTTACGTTTGAGGTTGGGGACTCTGTTTATTTAAAGTTGCAGCCATACAGATTGCGATCTCTCGCTCGTCGACTTAATGAGAAACTTAGCCCGCGATTTTACGGTCCATTTGTCATCACGGACAGAATTGGGGCAATTGCATACCAGCTCGCACTCCCACCCTCAGCTCGTATTCATGATGTTTTTCATGTTTCACAATTAAAAAAGGCCACTTTTCCAATTCCCAACAGTCAACCCCTACCGGCAGCTCTTAACGAAGATCTCATATTACAGCTTGAACCGGAAGCAGTACTCAAGAGGAGGAAACTCATTAATGGACAGTGGGAAGTGCTCATTCAATGGAAAGGCCTTCCCCTATTTGAAAACACGTGGGAAGACTTTGAAACTATCTGCTGGTTCTTCTTGGGGAGGGTAATGATGAGCAACCAAGAATGGTTTACCGTAGGAAGAAGAGTGGTGAGAAGCCGAGGAATATTAGTTAGACAGGAGGTTAGAGTTTGTTAGGAGGGGACAGGTGGCTTGGTAGGAGTACGAGAGAAGAGAATTTTGTTAGAAATCAAAAGGTATCAGGAGAGAATAAAAAGGGCAGGAACGAAAGAGAGGGAATCGAGAATGGTTGAGTCATTTTGGAAGGGAGGCTACTGACCCTCGAAGTCAGTAAATGGGAGGCTGCTGACCCTCGAAGTCAGTCTTATGTTTACCATTTTCTTAGTATACTTTGTTATTCTCTCTGTGTAATTGCTATCTGCGTATTGATAGGACATTGCTGCTGTGTGAATCCTTCTGGATGTAATGTTCTGTGTGATTGGCAATACAACAGAGTATTTTTACATGTGAGTGTGTATATTAGCTGTGTTGTGGATAGATTGTGGTTTTATAGTGGATTTGCAGGTTGGGTGTTCATCAGTACTTTGTGCCACCAATTTACCCACTGGCTTTTCAGGATGCCAAACTAAGGAGTTCCTATGGCGCCAATCTAACATTATATACCATCACCAACACCATCCAACGCCTAACAAGAGCACACACACCTTCAAATGTGCCGGCAATTTGAACTCTCTCCAAAATATTTTATGTGCTTTGCTCTTATATATATATATATATATAGACCAACTGGTACATTTACTTAAGATATAACAAAAGGATGAGCAAAAATTTCATGAACAACATTACAATAGCCCAGGTCCACTACACCAATATTACGGTCTATGGATTCACAACGACCAACATGAATTTGTGTAAACTGGCTCAAAAAAAAAAAAAAAAAAAAAAAAAAAAAAAAAAAAAAAAAAAAAAAAAAAAAAAAAAAAAGACTCTAGCCAAACAGCTCCAGAAACACACAACAAGTCAAGCCACAACCCCTAGCCGATTTAACAGACTAATGAAAAAAGAAGCGCATTCAAAGTCTTTTCAGATCACAAGGTTCCTCAAACTATTACAGCACTAAAGTCTCCCACAAACGATCTAGCTCACAAAACTCCAAATGTTTGTATATATCCTCCCAGACTTATAGTCCAACCATAGATATCAGCGAATCTTGAATCTTCACAACTAGATGCGTACTAATTTCAGCAAAAAGAGAGGAGTTACCTATCAAGAATCAACCACTTTTACAATTGGTCACCTTCCACACCACCAATATTCCCTCACACTAGCCCACTACTCGAAGGTGAACCCATTTTTTCAATCTGGATTTCAACACCTCCCTTTCAATCTGCTAATCTCTGAATTTCTAAGTTAGTATTCCTAATGTTGGTAGTATAGTTGAATAAATGTCTTGCATTAATGTATTCAATTGATTGTTGGAATGGCAGATTTAGTTTATCCATGACTGCTTTATTTTTCATACAAACCTATTTGCATTATACCTATCCTTCCAATGGATATCACAAATCATGGATTAAGTAGACAGATATCTGCAAGACCATGTTTACAAGAAGATACCCCAGACCATATTCACCAAATATTGAGTTCTTGAAACTACAATTTTTGAGCTTGACTTTCAACAATGCATCCTGAGTCATAACAATATCCACCAAATGAAGCTTTAAATATTTTTGTCTGTTTTGTATCTTGAAAAAATAAAATAAAATAAAATATGACAAAAGGATTATGCAAAACTAGTGGCCATACCTGAACCTAACATCTCCTCTAAACTGTCCTGAACGTATTACAACCTACAACAATAAGTTTCAAATTCAGCACACAACAACATATGATGAAATACTCAATGCATAATATTACTAGAAGGACACACATTACAGCTTCCCAATTGTTACTCTTTATCATCTTCACATTTTCTGAAACATTTTTAAAAGTCAAAAAATGTGTTTCTTTATTCTATTTAACAAAATTTTAAACATGTGCTTCCAAAGACATACATCTTCCAACTAGAAACGTTCTATATTATGAACCCAAAACAAAAATTAGGGGCAAAGAATGGGAGTAGAATATGGTCAGGCAGAGAAAGACAATGGTGCTGGAACTACTCTTTAAATTTTTATAAGCGCAAGTTGGTGTAGTTGCATACCTTGTAGGCTCTCTAAGAATAGTGGTTTAAGAAGTGGGAGGCCTCTGCATGGGTATCTGTAACAAAAGAATCCAAAGACTCTTTTCTGTGCTTCAGTTTGGAAAACTGGGAGGCTGTTTTGGACAAAATGCAGGTGTTGAATAGTTGAAGTTCGTTTGTACAAAATCTATTGGTGGACAACTTTCATGTCACCAATTTGTATTTCATTTTCAACTGTAGCAGAAATCATTTTGTTTCAAATAAAATAGAAATAAGCGGGTAACACTTTGTTGAAAACATCTTGAAAATTCAACGTATTAAAGACTACTTCTCATTATACAATGCAAAAGGAAATTCAGCTATAGTCAGAATCCTATGTTTTGGCTGAAAATATCTCACAAATATTATCTAGACAAGAAAGAGAATGTTAAATCCAGAGAGCAAAAAGGTCTAGCCAAGGCAGGCTAATGACACAGAGCCAAGAACAAGCGTAAATGTTGCTAGCTATAAAGCTCTATATTGATATAATTTCCTATTTCATGGAGAAATCATCTCATTTTGGTGATTTGAGATTGATCTAACACATTTTTCTCCACAAGTTGAGAGGGGGCAGTCGAAATTCATTAAATCTTCATTATACATTAAATTGCAGCCCGTCAATGCTTTCAGGTTCAGTAAAGATTTGACACCACATCTGAGACGGAATTGATCAATAAGATGTCCTTGATACCTAATGAAAATGTAGCATAAAAAGATTTATCTCATTACCTCAGTGTCACCGGAAGGTACAAAACCAAGAAGTATTCCCTTATTGATTGTCATAGCAGAAACAGTTCCACCCTGGAAACATCATGGAAATTCTAATTTTTTGAGCTGTAAAAAATAATTATAAAACCAATAGAATGTCTTGAGGTATTTATAACAAACATTGTTCGGCATTTCTAATAAAGAAATAACCAATGACACAAAACTAGAAAATGTATGCATATTAAACTAACCTGATGATCAATATGAGCTCCCAAAGGACAAATACGATAAGGAGAGACAACAACTTGAACTTCCTCAGAATCTCTCCCAGACATTTCAGAAACTTTATTTCTTATGTCATTTAACTGCAATAAAAGAAACTCATTCAACAAATTGAAATCCAGCAAATCACGGTTAATGAAAATTATAAATCAGTTTAAATTGAAAGCTACCGATGCAGCATCCCATGAATCAGCAAAATGCGGAAAAAAGATAAACTCTAGAACTAATTTTGACAACCCATTAAGGAAAACAGGAGAATGATTATTACCTGGGCTTCAGTAGGCCAAGAAGATTCAGCCATGTCGACCGATAATAGAAAAAACTCAGAACTTTGTTAGCCACAACTACAGCTTCGACAAAACGAAAAAGGGTTTTTGGCTTATAATGATTGAAGGGCAAGATGAGTAACTTAGAAGGAAAGTAAACCCACGGGTAACAGAGTTTGGTAGTGTGTCAAAACAATGATAAATGGTTCTTCTTTTTTTTTTTTTTTTTTTTTTTTTTTTTTTTTTTTTTTTTTTTATGTAAGGACGAGTGAATTAGTAGTGAACTATCCATTCTACCCTTACATGAATGAGTAAATTACCTTTTTTAACCTTACATGTGTTAACATCTAAGGAGAATAATGGAGAAAATTTAGCTATCCGGCCATCCCAAGCTTTGATTTAAGAAAATGGTCTTGAAACTGTTTTTTATTTTTTTTTTAATTTAGAGAAGATGACATGGCATAGTTAGGATTAACTAAACACGTTAAATGGGTTAAAATAAAAAGATTAAAACATATGTGGGCCGAATCAGAAATAATAAAAGTTTTTAAAATTTGAAATTTCTCAAAACAAGCCCCACTAACTATTCACCTCGCTTAATCGAAATTCATTAGGGGAAAAAGTGATTTCTTGAACCAAAGGGAGACAGTGCGATTTCCGATCGAACCTGCAAATTTCCATACCATATTCAATCGTAAACTCAATTTCTTGAACCCTAAATGGAATATAGTCGCGATTTCCGGCGATAAGTCATGATTTTTGATCGATTTCTTGAACCCTAAACGGAATCTACGCGATTTCCGGCGATACAGCCCACATTTTCGATCCAAACTACAAATTTTCACACCAAATTCAATCCAAAACCATGGCTAACACTCACAATGACGAGGAAAACCCAACGCTTCGAATCCTAGATTCTGGTGGCGCAAACAGTTCAATGGTTGCTCCGGTGGATCATTCGATTAGTGAAGGTGGTCGATAGGCAGAGGAGATGTTGGCGGCACAAGAACAAAGGGAAGAATCAGCAAACGGTTTTGAAGACGAGGAGTCAAGCGAAAATTCAGGCCAGGAGGAGGATTCCGATGAGAATTCAGGGCAGGAGGAGGAGTCTGGCGAGAATTCAGGCCAGGAGGAGTCTTCCGAGGATTCAGGCGACGAGGAGGAGGCCAACGAGAACGAGCAGGCCACCGAAGAAAGGGTACATTTTGAACTGTCGCTTAAGCGATTTACCTCTTTTACTCTATCTGCCCAGATCTAAGATCACTTAAGCGATCCTTTATATCGCTTAAGTGATTGATTAAGTTGACTTTTGGTCGCTTAAGCGATTTCAGATTGCTTAAGCGATCTTTTTGAGGCAGAATCATAGATATAAGATCGCTTAAGCGATCTTTTGTGTCGCTTAAGAGATTCTTTCAGTTTACTCTTGGTCGCTTAAGCGATCTTGCACGAGGCAGAGTCAAGATCTTTTAAGTGATCTGAAATCGCTTAAGCGACCACAGTGGTAATTTTTTGTTGCTGATATTTTATTTATTAGTTGTTTTAGTTTATTTTTGTTGCTGACATTTTGTTTATATCGATTGTACAGATTGTGCGGACCGTAAACTATACAGACTACGAGTTGGACCTTATAAGCGATAAGGTGTCCTACTTCCCTGCAAGGGTGACGGTCAGGTCAAGTTGGGAAGTTTTTGACAGAATACAAGACATTTTAGATAAAATTACTCATGGTAAAAGAGATTTATGTCGCACTTGTTTCGGTCGGTTTTTAGGACTCGGAAATCATTGGAAAAAGGCATTTTGGGGGCAGGGAGTGCATTACATGTTGCTGCACTCAGTAAGATGCAATAAAAAAAAAATGTGGTTTGTGGTGGGTGGAAAGCCACTACATTTTGGCATGATGGAATATGCCCTGGTGATGTGCTTAGGATGTGGGGAAGCGCCAGATAAGAAGGCAGAGGCAGTAAGGAATAGTCGGGGAGCCAAACAGTTTTATAATAAGGTTTTGCAGGGGGATAAGTCTATTACAGCACAAGTATTAGACTAGAAACAGTTGAATTTACTGATACAGAGAAGATAAAAGTGTGCTTGGTTTTGTTTTTACATTCGATCTTATTGGCTGGTGACTCAACAAAAGCTGTTGAGAAAGATTGGTTGTTGTTTGCAAGTAACTTGAAGTTCTTTAATTCTTATCCATGGGGACTGAAATCATATGAGCGAACCATCAACAGCCTGAAAAAAGCAGACATGGTGTTAAAGCAGTCCCAATGGGAGGGGAAGGATAAACCAAGCACGTACAATTTGTTTAACTTCTCATGGGCAATGTAGGTAAATATTAATAGTTTTTTGTTATATTTTTTGTAACATATGTGTTTGAATTATGATATGGACTATTTTTTTTTTTTTTTTACTAATGTAGGCTTGGATGTACAAGGCCGTCCTTGTCTTCGCTAAGAGGGAGAGGAGGAGGAGCAACAGTTTGGATATGCAACAGCAATTTCCTAGGATGTTGCGGTGGCATGTCCAGAGGCACACGCATTCGGATTATGAGCAAATAGACGTTGAGATTCAAGCGGCTGGGGTAAGATTAAAGGACTAAGCTTTTGAATATGCAGTTGCTTTAAAATGTCGCTTCAATCTGATTGATTTTGTTTCTTATTGTAGGGAGTCGTTTGTCCCTTGCTCACCACTACTGGGGCTGAAGCGGAAGAGGACTATGTTAAATCTTTCAAAGCATTGGAGGATACAAGTGATGAATGGATAGACCGCCTGATGTGGGACCTAAAAGGGGTCACGTATGTGATGGCAGTTGCAGGGCCACTGCTTCACAACGTGGTTGATGCCGAGGAGGATGAAGCTCCAATCGGCCGGAGCTCCGAGGAGGAGGAAGAGAAGAGGGAGGAAGAGGTTTGTATGCCTCAGCAAACCGGTACAACAAGTACCGCTTTGCTGAGACATCAGCGTCGGGAAAGTGAGGTTGTTGACCTCATAAATGGCCTGTTTGAGAGTTTTACAACAGCCGTTTATGCAAGGTTTGACAAGATGGAAGAGTGCATGAAAAAGGTGGAGGAGAAAATGGATAAGCTGGGAGAGAAAGTTGGTACAGTGGAGGAGGAAGTTGGTACAATGGAGGAGGAAGTTGGTGGAGAATTAAAGGCGGTTGAAGTACAAACTGGCTTGAAAAGAGAGAGCCAGAAGAGCAAGTTTGTGAAATCGCCTTACATGGTAGTGACACAGGTAAAGAAGAAGAAAATTAAGAAACAAATGGAGGAAGAACCAGAAATAGAGGAGGTTGAGGAGGTTGGTGGAGGAAGTGGGACGGTGATAATAGACGAGGGCAAGGTGGGAGGCGAAGGAAGCAGGGATGTAAAAATGGAGGAAGCGGGAGGAAGTGGGCAAGGGAAATTGGACTCAAATGTCGATTTGTATAGGCCAATAGAGGAAAAGAAAAAACTCTTATATGCCTATTACAATGGATTAGGAAGTAATGGCCATATAAAGTGCAAGACAGGGGATTATCCCCCCGGAATGGTTTAGGAAGTTGTTGACGATGGGCATGTGGCTTGAGGACTCGGTGAGTTATTTTCGCTTAATTTTCCTTATTTTTGCCTGTGTTTTCCATACTTATCTTGTTGTTTTTATTTGATGCAGCACATCGATTAGATATTGGCACTGATGAGGCTACGACAAACTACTGATGGTGATTTGTTGTATCCTGACTGTGCTATCACTGATGTGGTGTTTGGCTAAACGCTTGTTTCGGTATATCGGACTTTAATTGAAAATGTTGTTGCTAGTGGTGCAGCAAAAGGACCGAAGCGAAAAAGATTGGCCCCAGTACAGTTGGACTGCATCCCTGATGATTTTTATTTTGATGACAGAATTATGCAGTATATACAGGGGGATCGGCCCAAATATAGCCACGGTTGGACCTTTGTTAAAAAAGTGTGCTGCATCATCCTCGTCAAACAGATGCACTGGATAGCAGTCGTTGCACATCTAGAGGAGGGGTTGCTGAAGATCCTTGACTGCAACCCCACTATTTGTCGAGACAAGCAGTTAGAGGTCGAGTTGGAGCTACTGCCTAGGTTGTTCCTGCGGCTGTTGCATGACAGCGGGATGTTTGGGCACTTGGGTGATCAAGTACTAACCGGAAAGTGGCCAATTAAGATCTCTACCAGCCCCATAAATGAGTCAAGGTAACTTTTGTATAAAACTAACTTATATAATATAATTGTTTTTTAAGTTTATTCTAATGCTAATGTCTTCTTCCTATTGTAGTGCTGAATATGGGACATATGCCCTAAAATTTATTGAGTTCGACATGACCAACACCCCGATGGATGGGTTGAATGATGAAACAATGAGAGACTATCGGGAGGGCTGGGCTGTCGACTGCTTCCATGGGCAGATGGATCCGTTTTGAGTGAGCAGAACCCAATAAAAAGGTATGCAAGTTGGACTTTGAATTTTGTAGTTTATGTGATGTTGATGTTGATACTTGGGTTATGATGCTGATGCTGTAGGTGTTATGCTTATATGGAGCTTTACCGAAAGACACGGACTGAGTGAACTTCTCACCTACCCACTATGTAACTTATTTACGTGTTTTTTTTTTTTATTTACAAAAGTTAACGTGTCTGCCAGTTCCTAGCAAACAATGAGAGGAAACTTCTCAAACAAAAGGCTAGTTGGCAAGAGGAAAGGAGGCATCTGCAATCAAGGCTGCTGGGAAGGCATGGTACAAAACAATGATATCAGAGAGGTTGCTGGCAAACCGAATTCGAAAACTTCTCAAAGGCTGGTTGGCAGGAGGAGGCATCTGCAATAAAGGGATTGTGCGAAGGTGTTAGTGACATTAAACTCTTTGGCATCAAAAAGTAAATTAAAGGCAGTGTATAGGAAATTCTTGTGCTGTGGCTCTTCTTGCGGCAGTGTATAGGAAATTTTTGTAAAGAATTGGATCTGACATTTGGGAGATAATTTTTATTATACATATAAGATATCTCATTAGAAGATTGAATTTACTATGTATGGTGTGATCATTTGCTTCACCCAAGTTGGATAATGGTTTTTTAGCATTTTGTTTCATTTTGTGTGTCACTACAACATGTGATGTACTGGTGTGATTATTTGATTCACCCAAGTTGGGGTTGATGGTTAGCTTGTCCATAAATTTCGATATTTGCCGC